GAGTTCGAGACCAGTGTGGCCAACATGGTGAAATCTTGTCTCTACTAAAAACAAAAAATTAGCTGGGCATTGTGGCACGCCCCTGTAATCCCAGCTACTCAGGAGGCTGAGGCAGGAGAATCTCTTGAACCTGGGAGGTGGAGGTTGCAGTGAGCTGAGATGATGCCGTTGTGCTCCAACCTGGGTGACACAGCGAGACTCTGTCCCAGGGGAAAAAAAAAAAAAAAAAGATGGTCAGGGTCACTAGCAGGCAGGATTGAAAAGTGAGCCTCCATCTAACCTTGGCTGGTGAGAATGGCTCTGTTCATGGCCCCCCAAAGGAGGGAAGGGTATTTGTCATCTGGTCTTTAGCCCTGTTCAGCTACCAGAACAACAGCAGAGAAAGGGAGACGGAGGGTAGCCCATTTACCTTGCCTTGGTAAGGGTCTCCCCTGCTGTTGGATTTAGCCTCCAGTTGTAACATTTCAAATGTGCATGATCCTCTACTGTCTGCAAGACAAAAGTATGAACACTTGCTTTTCCAGCGAGGCCCCGAGCCACCCTCCTCCCTTTCCCCTACACACGTCCAAGTCAGTGGGCAAGCTGGCAGTGCAGTGTCTGCAGCACATGGGGTGCATGCTGTCAACTTCAGGCCGTTGTGTGTGTTCACAGTTCAGAAGCTGACTCACTATCTCCACCTGCCAGCATCCTCCACCACCCCCACCTCCCACCCCTATTGTCAGGAGGCATGTGTATTGAATGGCAGTGCCATCAGAGCCTGCTGGCACCCTCTTAACCCAATTCTCGGCTACTAGGATGAGAGGTTGTTTCTTCCTCCCTGAATCTCTCAGTCCCTGCTGCACCATTCACAGCTGGGGGGAAGGGCTGACCGACTTTTTTGATCTTGTTTTCCCTGCCTATCACAATGCCTGGCACATACCAAATCCGCTGAAATTGTTTGTTGAGCAGACTGTTATCATAATCACCTGTGATATTTACCACATTTTACCTTTTGGCATGGTTATTTGAGAATATTTTAAAAACTTTCTAGGTCTCAGCTCTGTGATAGCAGGGCCTGTATTTTATTTATTTTTTAATCTCCTGAAGCACCTGGTTCCTGGACTCCATGAATATTTAATAGCCTGAAATAAACAGAATTTAATTCCTGGATAGTTGAATTGGAGAGGTGGAAATAAACATATGTTTTTATTTCTGTTTCTCTCTGGGGAAACTGAGTCAAAGAAAAATAAATAACTCACAAGCTGATGTGTCAACCAAGGCTAAAAATCCAGAGAGAAATTCAGCAGTAAAAGAGCATTGTAATATTAGAAAGCTTCCAGATCTTTCCATTCAGGAGTGTTTCTTACCTGTCACATACAGACCTGCCATACAAATTATTCTTTGTTTGCTGGAAAGCCTCCTGAAGCTGAACGGGTTTACTTTGGCATCAGTGGAGGCCATGATTGAGGGTGGAAATGAGACGTTGGATTGCTTTTGTGTGGCTTCCGCATGGCTGTCGTGGTTCCTCTGCCCAGCCCTCTCCTGCGAAGGACTTGATCAGCTCCAGGGCGCAGCTTGTGTGTCTGCTCCGACGGCCAAGTCCCTTTGGCTCCCTTCCCTTGGCTCTAGTTTGTCCTGACTCTGCCTTCTGCTCCTCAGGTCTGTCTAGGTTTAGTCCTATGTAACCATTTACAGCAAAGACTGCCCATGCATGGAAATGCTGCCCTGGCTTGGCAGGAAAGGGGTTTGGGAAAGAGGTGGATGTACCTGTGTCTGAAACACCTGAGGCCCTCCCAGGGCTAGGGATGCAAGAAGCCTGGGTTGGCAAAGCTGGTCTTCCTGCTGGGGCTGAGGAGCACTGGAGCCCTAAAAGGAGAGTGTGCTTCAGCCCCTTTGGCAGCCAGAACAAGGGCCTATGTGGTCAAACATGAATTAACAAATGGGAAGAACAGGAGGTGACTCAGATCCACCTCCCCCATAACTGCTAATCATAGTGAATTATTAAGAGCATAAAATCAGGATCTTGTTTGTTACATAGAGATCAGACCCATCAGCCCTGAGCAATTATATATCCCCCCTCATACAGGTGGATAATATTGAAACTGGCATTTCCAAGCAGAAGACTGCTAAATAAGGGCATGTTTATTGTTTCTTCTACCTCATCAAGATGTCTGTTTCTTATTCCTAAGAAAGGCAGGGAGTAAAGGATTATTTATTTCCCTTGAAATTTTTCATTTGAAGAATCAACATGGGCAGATTTATAGTGTTCGCAAACATGCTGGTAGCAATTTGATTGCAGGAAGAATGAAATTTTGCTCAGGCAAGTGCAAATTTGTCTGTTGTGAGGAGGGCCGTCCACGCCTGTATAAATGTGCCGTTCTACCCTGAAGATACATTTTAACAAGGATGGTCGTAGTAGTTTTTATTCTTTTGTTCTCTCAGATGCATTACATTAAAATTAAAGCATGAAATAAATTAATCTGGGGAAATTGATTTGTTTCCACTTGATGTGTTGCTTTGTAAAACTTTAGCATTGTCTTATCACCCATAATGCTCAACAGAACTGCTGACACTGGTCCATGTGGGTGGCATGAAGGAAAATATGATTCCTCTGAGAGCGGTCTAATGATCTGTTTCTTGGACCTGCATTACTTCCAAGAAAAACAAATTAGTTTAATATATTTCTAGAAACGGAAACTCTTGGATACATGAGAAACAAATTTGAATTTAGGCAATCTAATTAACCTTTAGCTCAAAATGTTGGTATTTTCACAACTCTTTTGGACAGAGATAGTTGTTAGTGGTTGCTTCAAACTTTTTTTCACATCTTTTATCTAAAAAGCAATTTGTGATTTTTTTTTTGACCCTAGTATACTTCGATGTCTTTTTGACATGATTTCTTGTATTGCTCTGGCTCCACTTTTACAGGAACTTTTTTCCTTTCCTCTTTTGTGCTCTTGGCTCTCAGTGACCCAGCCACCTTTGTGGACAGCAGTGGAATGCACTCCAGTTGCCTGCTGCCCATGTTGACGTGCACAGAGCTGGAGGGATGTCATTTTGACCACAGCACTTTGGCCTTAGAATGATGCAAAGAATCCATGTCACTGCCTTTTCTTTTTTTTTTTTTTTTTTGAGACGGACTTTCGCTCTTGTTACCCAGGCTGGAGTGCAATGGCGTAGTCTTGGCTCACTGCAACCTCTGCCTCCTGGGTTCAGGCAATTCTCCTGCCTCAGCCTCCTGAGTAGCTGGGATTATAGGCATGTGCCACCATGCCCAGCTAATTTTTTGTATTTTTAGTAAAGATGGGGTTTCACCATGTTGACCAGGATAGTCTCGATCTCTTGAACTCGTGATCCACCCGCCTCGGCCTCCCAAAGTGCTGGGATTACAGGCGTGAGCCACTGCGCCCAGCCCTTTTTTTTTTTTTTTATGCTTTTTTAAAAAGACTTCTTTCTATTAAAGTTTATTCACAATCTAGCTTAAGGATTCCAATAGTTCTGCAAGGTTTAGTACTAAGCCCCAGCGGTCTCCCATATGCCTTTTTCCCCTTCCCCCACTCCCTCCCCCTTCCTGTGTCTTCCTCCCTAGAGGCTGCGTTTCAACTCTTTGACATCTGAGTCTTTGGAATCATTCTCTCTAAGTAACATGTTCATATTGCTGCTTCTTGATTTCTTTCTGGTTTTAAGTATTCTCCTTGGACCATGCAACATGAAATATAAGGACTTAGCCATGTCTTCCCTACCCTAACAGCAAACCAAACCAAAGGCCGCCTTTTCATTCTTCTAACTTCTCTGCAGTTAGGGCATATGTTGGGATAGATTGGTACGCTGCATTAGGTTATTTTGACTGATGCTATCAACAGGTAAAATATTTAGTAAACTGTGATTACCTTTTCTTTTTCACATAACTTTTTCTTCAGTCTTTTTTTATCTGCTTAGTTTTCTATATGGTTTTCAGTAATTTAAATGCACACTCTCTGCAAATTGCTTGAACTGACTCTCAATACACTGCTCTTTTTGTTTGATCTTTTGGAGATGTGTGTCCACGAGCCTCTGACCTGCCCCTGGCTAGGCAGGCTGTTCTTTTATCATATAGGTATGCTGCTTCCTGTGTCTTCCTGTGTATTATATTTTTCAGGGGTTCATTTGGAGGGCCAGAAACCACACTAGCTATTTTAAACAGAAAGAGACTTAAAACAGAGATTAGATGCTTTCTAAATTATTGGAGGGGCAGGAGGAGTGGGCTTGAGACCAGGTTTCCAACCATGCCCCAGAACCACACAGCTGCCCTGGCCTGCCAGGGGTGTTGCTTTATCTGCCACATTAGGATGCGAGGGAGTCAGGAGGCCGCCTCTGTGACTGTTCACTTCAAGAACATTCTGCTGTAGCTGCAGTCCAAGGATCAGAACCTTACATTGGAGCTACTGCCTCTTGATACCCATGAAGCTGGTGACTGACCACTGGAGTACTTACAGAACAATCTAGTAGTCCTTCACATGCTGACCAGGAGAAAGAGTCAAGCCACAAAACAATGGCCTCCACTTTCACTTCTTAAGTCTTACTTGAGTACATCTAATTGGAGAAATCTAATCTACTCAAGAAACTCAGTTGTCAGGAAGGCCAGGAAATGTGGTGTTCAGCATTCTAAGTTCTGTAGTGCAGAAAGGCAGATGGGAGTGAAAGTGAATGCTGAGTGCCATTCTACTGTGCATACCACACCAGTGCTGTGTGTGTGTGTGTGTGTGTGTGTGTGTGTGTGTGTGCGTGTGTGTATGTGTTTATGGTCTTGTTTTGATGGATTGCAGATATTTTAATGCCTTTTCTTTTTTCGAGTCAAAATCTCACTCTTTCACTCAAGTTGGAGTGCAGTGGCATGATCTCAGCTCACTTGAACCTTCGCCTTCCAGGCTCAAGCGATCCTCCCACCTCAGCCTCTTGAGTAGCTGGGACTACCGGCATGCACCACCACGCCTGGCTAATTTTTTGTATTTTTAGTAGACACAGGGTTTCACTACATTGCCCAGGCTGGTCTTGAACACCTGAGCTTGGGTGATCCACCCACCTTGGCCTCCCAAAGTGCAGGAATTACAGGTGAGAGCCACCATGCCTGGCCCAGACATTTGAATTTCTGATCATTTATTTGTAGCCATTTTTTTCTCCCTGGGACTTAATTTTTTTTTTAACAGCTTATGGAGGAAGAATTTAGATAATTATTCAAGGATTATTTAGTAAATTTATAGAGTTTTCTAGCCACCACCACAATCAACCCCAAAAACTTTCCTCGTGTCCATATGTAGCCAATCATGACTCTCGCCCAGCCCCAGGCAGCCACCTGCTCTACTGTACTTCCTTTCTTTTATAGAGACAGGGTCTCACTGCTGTTGCACGGACAGGAGTGCAGTGGCACAATCCACTGTTCTACTTTCTGTCTCTATAGATTTGTCTTTTCTTGACATTTTATGTAAATGGAATCATACACTATGTAGTCTTTGGCATGTGGCTTTTTCCACTCAGTGCAGTGTTTTGTGGTTCATCCTATTAGCATGTCTCAGTAGTTGGTTCTTTACTATTGTCGAATAGTATTGTACACATTTTATTTATCCATTGACCAGTCAGTGGGCATTTAGATCCTTTACAGTTTTTGTCTGTAATGAATAAAGCTGCTATGAACAGTCACATACAGGTCTTTATGTGGCATATGATTTCATTTCTTTGGGGTAGGCACCCAGGAGTAGAATTGCTGGGTTGTTTGGTAAGCTTGTGATTGACTTTTTATAAACTGCCGAACTTTTTCTAAAGGGACTGTGCATGAGCAATACATGAGGGTTCTAGTTTCTCTACATCTTCACCAACATTTTATATTATCTGACTTCTTGAAAATAGGCATCCCAGTGAGTATGTATCTTGTTAGTTATACTTTACATTTTCCTCATGAATAATCATGTTAAGTATCTTTTCATATGCTTAGTAGCCATTTGTATATATTTTCTGATGAAATGCCTATTCAAAAATAGTGTCCATTTTTAATTGGATTTTTGCCTTATTCAGTTGTAAGAGTTCTTTATATGTTCTAGATATAAGATCTTTATTATATGTATGATTGCTTATATTTTCTCCTAGTCTGTGGCTTATCTTTTTATTTTCTTAGTGATATCTTTTGAAATTTTAAAGAAATCTAATTCATCAGTTTTTTTTATGGATTATGATTTTTGTGTTGTACCTAAGAACTATTTGACTAACCCAAGTCACATAGATTCTCCTGTCTATTTTCTTCTGGAAGTTTACTGTTTTACCTCCTGCATTGTGATATATTTTCCATTTTGATTTAAATATTATGTGTGATATAAGGAGAGGTTCCAGATTCATCTTTTTGAGTGTGTGTATCCCTTTGTTTAGAGCCATTTGTTGAGAAAACTAGTCCTTCCCCATTGAATTGTCTTGGTATCTTTGTTGAAAATCTGTATATAGTACCATGCAATCTTGTTTATTGAAGCTTCAGAATATATGTAATATTGAGTAGTGTTAAGTTCTCAAACTGTTCTTTTTTTCAAAAGTATTTTGGCTATTCTACTTCCTTTGTATTAGAATACCAATTCTGTCAGTCTCATACACAAAAAAAGTCTGTTGGAATTTTGATAGAAATTTCATCAGATCTGTAGATCATTTAGAGGAAAATTGCCATCTCAATAGTATTAAGTTAGCATGGAATTTGTATTTATATCAGAGCTTGGCAAACTTTGTTCTGAAAGGGCTAAGTAGCGAAGAATTATTTTCATAAGCCCTGCAGTCTCAGACACAGCTACTCAACTCTGCTGTTGTGGTGAGAAAGTAGTGTGGCCAATGAGCTGTGTTCCAGTCACTATTTATGAAAGCTAGGGGCCGGACCCTGGGCCTCTCACTTGATCATCTTTAATTCCTCTCAGCAGTGTTTCGTAGTTTTCAGAGCACAAGTCTTGCACTTATTTAATAAAATTTATTTGTATTTTATTCTTCTTAATGGTATTGTGAATGGGATTGCTTTTTAAATTTCATTTTCAGATTGTTCATTCCTAGTACATACAAATATGATTGATTTTCATATGATGATCTTTTTTCCTGTGACCTTGCTAAAGTTGTTTATTAGTTCTAGAAGGTTTTATGGATTCTTAGGACTTTTTAGGAATCTGTTCTGTGTCCTTGTGGGTTCTGAAACGTCACATTGTGTACCTTGGCGTGAGTCTACTTTCCTCCATTGCATGGACCAACTTTCTTATCATCTGTGAAAAACTAACAGCGAAATTCCTTTGTCGAGTTTAGGGCATTTGTTTTGTGGCTTTGTCTTTGTAAGGAAAGAGAAAGAACATGATTATGTTATGCTTGTAGTAAAACTATCATAGGAAAAAATTTTCAACAATAATAGGTGTGTTAAAACTGTAATAATACAAATTATCTGTAGATAATTGAAAATTTTTCCTAAGACAAATGAAATCTACAGATTTCATTTCTTATGCCTCTGGCATAAATACATCAACAGCATTATGAGCAGATTTGTTTTCTTTAAAAAAAAAGTGGGATTAAAGCATACAGCACTTGCCATTTTTCTGTTGCTCTGTGTGTGAAAACTGCTTTGTAGATTCTAACATAGTTGACTCCCTTAACAGCATGTTTCAACTCTACATTTCTTTCATTTTTCTTTTGGTTTACATTATGGATTTCTTCTCTTCCCTTCCCCTACTAATAGCCAATTGGGAAAGACCTTGTTAAAGCGAAGGAATGGAAAAGTCTTTACTAAGGTAATGTAGTCATAACTTCAGGCACAGGAGGTTTCATAAGGGGTGGTTCTAGTGTCGGGGATTCATGGCAGGTGTTGTGCAGTGGACCACCATTCAATCTCTGACCTTAAGTGTATACATTTGGTTGAACTTCTCTATCTTATTATTTTATTAACCAGTTTATTCATTTCTAAGCAGCATTTATTGAACACCTGCTGTATGTTGTTTCCTAGAAATGCGAAGGAGAGTTAGCCCCTGTTAAGGGGCCGGCATTAAATTTGGGACAGACAGAAACAGTTTCTTATGTTGCCACTCAGCTGAGCTTGAGGAACAGGCTGTGACTCAGCAGAGCAGCTGGCTTGATCAGCAGCTGGTTCCACCATATGTGCAGGCCTCACGCTCCCACAATGGACAGTTCTGACCTTGACTGACCTTTAGGCCAGTGTCCTCCAAGTCCATCAGGCAGTCTGGGTGGAGTCATTGGGAATCTTGGGCTGTCTTCTAGTTTATCCCAGGTCTTCCTCGCTAATGGGGACATGTTGGGGGAGAAAGAGCTGCTGCCCGAGTCAGGCCTTGCTGAACCGACAAGCTTGCTTTTTCACTTTTCCCCTTCTCTGTTTCACTCTGTTTACCTTTACTCAATTGCCAGAGATGAGAACATTCCTTAGTGGTGTTCAGTTTTTCCTAAACCTATTAGAGATCTATTTTTCTCTTTCATTTATAAGCTATTACAGTACTGGGACCACATGCAGTATCTTCCTGTAACTGTGAAACCAGCTGTAGAGCAGCATTCCTTACCTTTTTATAATACCCCAAAATTTTTAAACCACAAACAGAGAAAAGTATCTGTTATAGAGGAAAGAAAGAAAAAAGAAAGAAAGAAAAAGAAAGAGAGAGAGAGAGAGAAAGAGAAAGAAAAACATTGGCCTCCATGGAGAGAGAGAGAGAGAGAGAAGGAAGGGAGGAAGGAAGGAAGTCAACAACTTAATCATGAAATCACATCTTAACATGAAAATAACAAAATGAACATCTTTCTACAAAGAGGACGAATTATCTTTTCAAGCGTCCTTGATGAGAAAGACTAGAGAAGTCATGCAGGCTGCAGCATGGGGGCGTTAGGTGAGATACAAGGAAGACCCTCCAGCTGGTAGAGAGTGGGGAAGCTTGAACTGAGTTATGAAGATCATGTTAGACTTTTAAAATTTACTGAGTAGATTTTCATTTCTTGGAGGCATTTTAAATACAGTCCTCTTGAAAACAATAGATACGTGGAACATCCTTGGAAAAGTCAATTTTAATCGCAAGTACTCGTCAACTCTATTTATAAGCAAAAAAGAGAACAAATCGCTTTCAATCGTTAATTTTTCTGTAGTTGTATTAGGGTGCAAACTCAACTTGTGCTCCTCATCTTCACAACTGTCTGTGAAGCCTACATCATTTGAAAAAGTAAAAACAATGAGAATTTGGAGAGCACGGTTAGCAAGGTGGTTGATTGGTGATGTTGTGCGTACGTTTTGTTTGTTTGTTTCTTCCTTTCGTGTTAATACTCGTTTAAAGTTAACTTAGTCGGGGCACGATGTAGTCTTATCTGTATATTGTAGTTTATTTGCTATTTAGCTTCTAACTACAACTAGACCAGCTCAGCACCTTGCTTCAGACTACATCTCCAATAGATTTTCTGTTCCGGCTTTTTAAAGACTCCTGGTCTTTCCATTTATCTGTTTCACCCCCGTTAACTCTGCAGTGATGGACATACCTCTAATTCTCAAACCAGTGTTACCTTCTGTAGCCATGTCTGTCTAAGTACTCTTGTGAAAACTAGTCCTGTAGCCTTTGGTATTTGTCAGAAATTATTTGGTAAGTACTAGGAGGTATCTTTTTTTCTTCCAATAAATGGAGGCATTAAAAGTCCATTTATTGGAAGTTTTTTTTAATGTAAGCATCATTAGCTTTTTTATTTTTTCAATTTTAGCTTATGTAACATAAAGACCTCTTCATAGCCATACTCTTTTTGAAAGAAAAGAATTTTTTTTTTATCAGCCCCTGTCTGGATTCTTCCCATGTCTGTAATGCTTCCACTGTAGGAGACTCAATTTTATCCTTGTTTTTAACTTACCTCAGTAACTCTGTGGTGAGTGGCCCTTAGCAGGACAGACCTGCCTCTTTTTTCTGTTCCTTGCAGACTTCTGAAGCTCATTTCTCACACACACCTGTGTAATTCCTTTTTTCAACAGCGATGAGTAATGTACAGCTCTCTGAATACTCCTTCTCTCTTTGCCTCTGTACTTTACACATGGCATTCCTTCTGTCGTTAGTCCCTCCCCCACTCCCTTAATTTCTACTCATTCTGAAAGATTTAATTTGCTTCTCATCTGCAGTCTTCACAGATCCTGCCTCTGCCACTTCTTTTCCCTTCCTATCCCCACTCCAGCCCAGCATGAGACCTTTGTTTGTATTTCTGAAATGCTCTGTGTACCTCTCTCCAGTGCCACTGTCATTGCCTGTGTGATTTCTGAGTCTCTTTCCTGTGTTCCCCACTAGATGTTGAGCTCCTTAAAGGCAAGGACCATGTCTTAGTCAACTCTATATTCCCAGGCTTAGCTCTGAAAACATAATGAATAAACGTTTGGTGGAAGATAAGGAAATATGTCACATCCCTCATTGGAGGCTTTGTTTGTCATTTCCTAGGCTTGTTTCAGTTTCACATCAACCCAGAGGATGTGAGACTTCATAATGGTCCTGATGGCACCCACCCATCCACTGAGAGCTCATTCTCAGGCATGCTGGCAAAATGACTCAGTGATTTTCAAACCTGGGGAGCTCGATAAAAACGCCTATTTCCTTCCAGAGAGTCAAATGCAAGACTGTGTGTGGTGCCTGGGATCTGTAGACTGAAGCAGCACCCCTGGTGATTCTTATGCAGGAAGTTGATATCGGAGGTGTCTGAGAAGCACTGGGTTGGGAACAGAGCCCATTTGGAGTCAGCAGCCCATGCTGGCTCTTCTGTGGATTCCTTGAACCCGTGAGCACATGGCCACCTCAGCCTTATGCTGCAGTGACTTCTCTCATTACTAGCACAGCTTATGACCTTCTTGGCAGGAATGATAAGAGGCACATATTCTTCAGTTTATGCAACAGATGTGTTCCTGAGACGTTGAATACAAATTAAAGTTTTATAAATGGACAATGGGATACCAGCAGCACATTATTTTGTAAGTTGAATAGTCACTCCCTGATTTATTGGTTGTTAAGGCCTCCATTTTAATTAATTAGTCTGTTTAAATTAAATGAAATTTTTCTATCTGTGGTTTACATTTTGACTGTATGAATTTAATAGATTTTTTCTTTTTTTTGCCACAGGTGGTCACACATTCTTACCAATCCTTAAATAGGCATTTTAAGGTTTAAGTAACAACATTTTACTGCTGTTGAAGATTGACTTTTGAAGCTTCAGAAGCCCTAATCTAGGGGCCATTTCATTTCTGAGAAGGTTCATGATCAATGCCAAGTAATTTCTCATTGTAGTTTCCAGAGTCCTACATGCTTATGAGCTCATAACATTTGCCCATGAAGTTTTAGATGCTGAAGTGAGATAGTTTATTTGCTATTGAGCTCATTGGCTTCTAACTAAAATAGGTCTGAGATGTTAATAAAGTATTCTCCAGTTATCTCCTTTCTTAGTCACCTTTGCTATGTCCTCTTCCTGTGTCAACTCAAAACATGAGTTTTCCATACTGATAGTGCCCCCACCATGCTACCCGTTATAGGTGAACGATCTAATTTTTCCCAGTAGCTTCCAATCTCCTCTGTGGATAAGTGTTAGTTTGATAATGATAATGATAGTCATAAGTTTTATTATCATTGTTATTGCTCTTCTTATTATTCTCTGGACCTCTGTGTTTCCTTATCAGTAAAATAAATGTGGTCAGACCGAAAGATGATTTCTACGATGACTTACGCCTTACCATTTTGTGGTTCTATGATTCTAGATATACACTTTGATAATTATAGATGCTCATTTCCTTAACGTTATCAGAAGGGAATGATGAGCTGTGTTTCAAAATATTGATTGTCTTAATAATATGGCTAACTTCAAAATGTCATTAAGTAGAATATATATTTTGCAATGTTTATTATTCATTTTCCTGACTGAGAGACTGAGGCCAGTAGTAAAAACTTACAACCACCAAATATCAAAGTTGGAAGGGACCTGAGAGAGCATCTTGTATGTCCCCTGCTCTCAGAAAGTGGTGATATTCTCAACCCAAGAGTTATGGTGACACGTTACATATATCAAGATAAACTCTTTAGGAGCTTCAGTGTCATGGAAACCCTTTGTGTCAGCAACATCAAAGCCCATGATTTTCTAAGTGGTATTTCTCATTGTGCAATTCATTGCAAAATAATATTCCTAAGCTATGAAAGATTACACATCTGTAGTACCAGGGTTAGCTCAAGATTTCAGAGCATGCTAAGTAGATGCTTATTCCTTTGACTGGTGAAAGTAGAAAAAAAAAGCCATATAATGAAAGAAAAGGAGAATTTGTGTGATGGTAATGTTATGTCTTATTAAAATAATCAAATTGCCTTTAATATTTTCATCAAGTTCTTCATATTTAAGGAGATAATTATTAAGGAGAATCCACAATATTATAGAAAGAACACTTATTTTCTAAAATATAATTCCACCAGAAATCTTTAAATCTGTTTCAAAGAGGGCCATTTCATTCATAAAAGGTAATGACACTATTCTAATACTAGTGTTTGATCGTTCATCTTTTTCCTGTGTCTGCAGAATGGATTACGATTCCTTGCGTAATCAGCAATCCGTTTCATTTTCCAACAGTTTGCCAGTTATTCACACTTTCACAAGAAGGCAATGCCTAGCATGCTGTAGTTCGTTTCTGATGTTACACAGGAAATGATGGTGAGATAAGAGTAAAAAGATGATTTCATGTGTATTTATAGGGTAATGTATGGGAGATGTTTCTGTATAGTCTTATCCTTTTGGAATGATGAAGTTTAAGGGTTTCTGTGTCTGAAATTTATATCCATATAATACAGATGTGCATATGACTTCGCATATGTGACAGGTAAAATTTGAAAATGTATCTTCCTGCCATTCCCAGTTTACTGGATTCTGGTCATTTCAAGCCTGATGAGATTTGGGTTCTTGAAAATGGCTCGAGACTGACATGAATCCCTTACACAGGCGTCTTCACAGAAACCTGTCTCTAGCCATTGCCACTTACAGTGACTGTTTGTTGGGACCACTTGGTGGCAGGCCCTCAGTCAGCTGCCCAGCTCCCACTTTTCTGTGTTTTCCCACATGTGGCTATCACCACTTGCTTGGTCCACCAAGGTTCCTCTCCTGCGCAGAGCTGCACCGCCCTGATCACACTCGTTCTCACTACCTCACAGCAGAACCGCCGTCTCCCATTGTGTGGAGCCCCACCCCACACTTCATACCCCTGCTCTTTGTCCCTTGGTGGGTAACAGTAGCTAATCCCTCCTCTGGATACCTTCTTGATCTTCTCCCGAAACAACTGCAGAGGGCTCAGAAAACCCCTTCTCTCGCTCCAGCATGTCAGAATCCAGCGCCTTGCTGCTAGCTACCACTCCAGCAAGTCTCAGACCCTCTGCCGGCCTCTGGAATTTTGTCGTGTAGAATGTTCTTTGCACTGCACTTGGCATCTCTTACAGGAACTGGGTTCCTGTCAGTCAGTGATGATGACTCAGTTCAAGTGTCAATTGATAATGTCCCACAAAAAAATTAAAGTCGATGGAAAAATCTGTGGTCATTGCTTCTAAAAAGATAAGATTTGGGTTTGGAGGTATAAGATGAACATAGCTTTCACAATTTTTCTTTTAAGGCAACTAGATTTCTAATCAGTGTTTTTCAGTATGGCTTAATGGCTAACTTTGTGGGTTTGGGATTTCGATGTCCTGCATCTGAATTCTGGTTTTGTCATTTGTCAATTGTGTGACCTTACACAAGATACTTACTTCTCTGAGTCTCATTCTTCTCATCTCAAAAGTAGGAATAATACTGGTACTGACCTTGAAGAGTTGTAAAAATTAAAAAGTGACAGATGTAGAGCACTTAGAACAGTTTCTGACACAGAATAACACTTCAGTGAGTGGTAGACTTTATTATTATCTAGTATATTGTTATTATTACTATTATTATTTACAACTTTCCAAAAGGAATTAATTTTTGATAAAGAAGCAGAATTTCTTTAATACAGCTGGCCCTCCATATCTGCAGGTTCTGCATTCACAGACTAAACCAAGTGTGGATTAAAAATATTCAGGAAATCCCAGCACTTTGGGAGGCCGAGGCGGGTGGATCATGAGGTCAAGAGATTGAGACCATCCTGGTCAACATGGTGAAACCCCGTCTCTACTAAAAATACAGAAATTAGCTGGGCCTGGTGGCGCAGCCTGTAGTTCCAGCTACTTAGGAGGCTGAGGCAGGAGAATTGCTTGAACCCAGGAGATGCAGGTTGCGGTGAGCAGAGAGAGCGCCATTGCACTCCAGCCTGGGTAACAGGAGTGAAACTCCATCTCAGAAAAAAAAAAAAGAAAAAAAAAATTTAGAAAAAAAAGTCCAAGTTAAAAAAAAAATACATAGTATAGCAACTATTTACATTATATTAGGTTTTATAAGTAGCCTAGAGATTATTTAAAATGTATGGGAGAATGTGCATAGGTTGTATGCAACTACTATGCCATTTTATATCAGGGACTTGAGCATCCTCAGATTTTGGTATTTGCAGCATATCCTGGAGCCAGTCCCCTGCAGACATTGAGGGATGACTGTATACTGCCCAATTTCATCTCTACACCGAACTCATATTTATAATGAGTACAATGAATGTTATACAGTGAATGAATACAATAAATGTTACGTATCATTACGTAATGGAAAAGGGGGTAAGAGTAATATTCAGATCATTTTATTTTCTCCTCTGTAATTTTTTATTATAATAACTAATAAGTACCTGTAAGGCTCGAAAGTGGATTTGTTCTGTATAGTTTGTGTAGTTCCGCATAGCTCATGGGTCTGAGTTTGTTGCAACTAAACTAAAAAACAAAGTTGGAAAATAACTAAGTCCTGTGATTATTGAAAATTGAAAGAAAAACAAAGCTTTTCTTTTTCATCTGACTTTTCTAGAAAACAGACTAATCAATGAGATCCTATAAGAATCGTTGTCCTGGAAGAATGTGAGGGGAAAGTAAGAGACTCAATTTTTTACTTCTTTTTCATGTGTGTTTATGATGCAAAACTGAGCACTCTGAATTTTCCCAGACCCCTCTCCCTTTACTGTATTAACCTGTGGTACTTTTGAGTAGTCTTGGTACAGGTATAGCTATTTATAACAACCAGTCTATTATCTTGCTCACTTCCTCTTCCTGTGTTCCTTTCTTCCTGCTGTTACTGATCAGAAAAGGCTTTCTAAGCTAGAATGTGAGAGTTACTTCTTAACAATAAGTGAATCCCATTGACGGATTTCAGCCACAGAGAGAGTGACCCAGAAGCAGCAGTAGAGGGCGCTCGGCCCCTCATTTCATAATAATGGAGCCTGCACCAAACCTCTTTCATTTGAGGAGCTAAAAATGAATTGCACGTATTAATTAAGTCTTGCCGAGGCCTTGTTCAGTGATCCAGTGCTAAGTGCCTAAAATAAGTAGATCGTATTTTGATCTTGGGGAAACTGGGTGTAAGAGGGAGTTTCCTGAGACTCCATAGGAAGAGTCAGAATTTCAGCAAAAACCCAGGAATCCTTCTCTTACCTTTTCATACTCTGGTTAATATCCCCAGTAGCCTTTCGTTTAGAAAGAACCAACGGAAAACTCTGGGAGTTTTAATTTCCTCCTAAATAATTCCTTTAATGAAGGACATATGAGATTTTTGCTTTAAATAAATATTACCCACAATACTGTACCACCTATTTTAAAATTAATCCCTTTTGTTAGATAGCTATTCCTGTGACTCTTTGCTTTTAACCAACAAAGGCCCTTTTTTAAGGAAAATAAAAAATAAATAGCAGTCCTGGAATCCTATTGCCTAGTGCGGGCAGATCATATTCTGTGTGATCTTGTTGGCTCATATTATGTGGTGATTAGAGCAGGGCTTCAATCAGCTGGATGATTCCCCAAGGCAGGGTCTTGTCCCACCAGTGCACATGTGTGCCCCGTCTGACACCAGGGCAACTTGAGAATTGAGCCCAGGGAAGCTGCAGTGTGGTGCAGCAGATGCGTACTGGTGGTTGCCATGGAGATCACTAATACTGCTGAAACTCAAAGAAAGGGCATTTGCCACAGCTCAGGAGCCTGCCTGAAAATGAATGAGAAACAAGTGGAATTCAGAATAGTCCCCCAGCTCCTTATCCCACATGGAGTTTTAATTTCCTTTTTCCTCCTCTTCCTCTTCCTTTTTCAAAGAATAGATTGAAAACAAGGCTGTGTTATAAAGCATGCTCAGCCCCCTCCAGCCACATGACAGCCTGACATATTCCTGGAATAGATGTATATTAATGACGACGTATGGCTAATAGGATTGGGGCTGGGGGCTGGTGTGGCGCTTCTGGAGTCTGTGGGCCGCATGTCACTGGGGTTTAGCAGGCACGCTGGGATTTGTCTGCAGCATATGCGCTGCTGTTAATGATTGAAAAATTACCACAACAATTAGTCATGGATCGCTGAAGGCAGGGCCCCCAAATGTGATGGACAATGTGATTAAATCCATGTATGTGACAATTAACTCGCCTGCAGGTTTATCCACCAAAGAGGGTGCCCTAGGGGTGAGAGCAAAGGGGAATGAGAAGGAGGAAAAATGGGAAAACAAAAAGGAGCAGGAGAGAATAATGCTGCAGAGCGGATCAGATACAGCTGGCACTATTGGTTTTAATCTGATCCTGAATTAATCACGGTTTGATTAATCCTGGTTTTATTGCACCTTTCTGTTGCCCATTTATTTATACCTTCCTTAATTTTATGGAAGCATGACTGATTAAATTCTGCCCGTTCCATGTTTTTTAAATTTTAAAATCAGTTCTCTCCATTTAATGTGAATGATGTCCTAGGTGGTCCAAGGTGCAATTATCTCGTAAAAGCTTAGCAGGCACCAGACATAGCATGTCATGAATCCCCTTATGTATCACAGCTGAGTAACCCAGAATAAATATTTGTTTGCTCAATATTCTGCCTAAGCAAAAAGAAGCCTTGTGATGTCAATCTGCTTGTTTATTTGGGTGGAAGAAGTAAGAATAGACACCCCCAACTTTGTTAAATACGTTCAGTATATGGGAGCACACGTTCAGTATATGTCACACACACAAATTTGTGCATAAGAAAAAAGTGTGTTAACATTTGGATGAAGTGTCTGCAAACGTATAATCATGGTCTAAAGGGTAATAATGTTTGCAGTCCATAGATATGTTCATATGTGGAATTATTTTTAACTAGTATGTACTGTACTTATTTTGTTCTGATTTAGATGTTACTTTTGGTG